AATGTGATATTCATAAAGCCTAGTACACAGTTAGCACTATATAAATGCTAGCTATTATGATTATTATATCTCTTACCTTTATCAGTGAAACTCCTTAAACAAATCACCTACTCTCTATGCCTTCACTTTCTCTCAATCTCTTCCAACCTTCCATACTCTGGCTTCCAATGTCATCATTCCAATGAAACTGCTCTCCCCCAAATCACCAATGGTCTCTTAATGAACCAATCTGAAGGTCCTCGTTACTACACCTCCTTCTTGGCCTCTCTGCAGCATTTGACACTGTGGACCACCTTCTCCTGGACACCCTCTCCTCTCTGGGTTTTTCTGACAATGCTCCTTCTCACTTTCCTCCTGTCTTTCCTCCTGATCACTCTTCCCCAGTCCACAGCCTCATACATGACTCTCCCTTGCCTGAGGGGTCTATGCCCAAACCTCAGTTCTAATCCTTCTTCTCTCTCTAGTCTCTCAGTGATGTCATCTGCTCCCAGTGGCTTCATTATTATCTCTATCCCAGGGATTGCCGTGTCTATACATCCAGCCCTGACCTCTCTCCTGAGCACTAGTCTTATAACATCAACTGCTTCTTGAATATTTCCAACTGGGCACCCTACGGACATGTTGTGCAGAGTGCCTGCAACGGCAAAGCTGAGGGTCCCACTTCACGAAGAGTCATGACAAATGGTAAGGCCTTGGAGAGACTGTGGAGCATGCATACACATTCTGCAACCACAGATGAGGAGGACCCCTGTTCAGCTGGCTGCATGGCCAGAACTGAGGAACTCTCTGAGAAGGCTGAGTCATAGCCAGCTGGGCCTGTTGGCCCTTCTCCCATCAGAGGTGCTCCTTGGCTCATAACATCTCACGAGAGACCATCCTGTAAGAGGAGAGACCCTGGGGCTTCCTACCCTCTGAAACCAGGCAGTCCTGTGAAAAGGCCTCAGACCTTGACCTCCATATTGATTCTTTTCCATTCTAGGTGAAGGGGGTAGAGCCTCCCATCTTGTGAGTTTTGAAAGGGTGACATCCCAGCATTTCAGAGATGCCAGTGCCCCCCAAGCAGTGACCTCTGGCAGTAACCTTTGGCCAGCAGTAACTGAGATGCAGACTCATTGGGCAGGCAGGCCTACCATATGTGGACATGAGCTTGGCTGGACCAATATGATGTAGGAGCAGAGCTAAGAGTGTATCCCTTGGGTACTAGAGTGGAACATTTATATTTTTGCTGGTCACTGATATCTAATAATAGTAAGGGGAATACAGACAACGGGGGTCCAAGCTAATAGCCGTAGAAAAAAGATACCCCAAACTCCTCAAGGTACTCGAGAATCCTAAGGGGGCAGATACAGCCTGCCTGGTTGGGAAGAAGGAGCCAGGCCTATGTCACAAGGCCTAAAACAAAATTCATCAACTTTCTAGCCCTCTTCCAAACTCCCCCATCCTTCCAATGACCTAGGTCTGCAACCTTAGGATGACATTAGACTGCTCTCTCTCACTCATCCCATGCAGCCAACCAGTGGCCAAAGGATGCCATTGCTATCTCTGTGACATCTCTTACATCCATCCCATTCTCCGCACCCACACAGCTACCACCCATCCCTGAGGACCAGTGGCCCCCAAATAGGTCTCCCGGAATCAAGTCTCTCCCCACTCCCATTCCTCCTCTGCTCAGCTGCCAAAGTGATTTTCCTATAGTACAGATCCCTCCCCCAAAGCCCAATCAAAAAACTCCAGTGGCTCCCTATTACCTCCAGAATCTAAAATTACTCTCGGGGCAGCTAGGTGGCACAGTGGGTAGAGCTCTGGCCTTGGAGTCAGGGAGACCTGAGTTCAAATCCAGCCTCAGACACTTAACACTTATTAGCTGTGTGAACCTGGGCAAGTCACTTGACCCCGATTGCCTCAGCAAAAATAAATAAACAAAATAAAAAATTACTCTTCTGTTGGCATTTTTTAAAACCATTGTCCACTCAGCCCCAACACACCTCTCCAGACTTATTGCACAATACACTCCTCCATAAACATTTTATGCCTCCAGGTTGGGCTTATTACTGTCCCTTGTATCTTGTATTCACCTCCAGCCCCTATGACTTTTCTTTACCTTTTTTTTTTTCTGGTGAGGCAATTGGGGTTAAGTGACTTGCCTAGGGTCACAACAGCTAGTAAGTATCACCATCTAGCTGCCCCCAGCCCCTATGCCTTTGCAGTGGCTGTACACTATTCAGAGAATGCACTCACTTACTCAATTAACATTTATTAAGCTCCTACTACATGCCAGGCACTGTGCTGGGTCCAGGATACAAAAAGAGGCAAAAGACAGTCCCTGCCCTCAACCAGCTTACAGTCTAATGGGAGGGGAGGGAGGTAACGTGCAAACAAATACACACAAAGCAAGGATATATACAGGATATATAGAAAATAATGAACAGAGGCAAAGCACTGGAATTAAGAGGGGTTAGGAAAGGCTTCCTGTAGAAGATGGAATTTCTCTCAAATTCCTACTTTCCTTCAGACTCAGCTCAAGCTCCACCTTCCATATGAACTCTTTCCTGATCCTCTAGCTGCCGATTCCTTCTCCCTCCCCCCACCAAAAAAAATGTATTTGTTTTATTTCTATATCTAGGCATTGTCTCCCATGGCTAGACTATAAGTTTCTTGAGGACAGGGAACACTTTCACCTTTGTTTTTGCTTAGCCAACAAACAGCCTGGCACACAACAGGTCCTTAATAAGCACATATTGGTTGATTGATTTGGGGAAAGTAACACAGGACTCTTCACATTGTTGGACCCAATAAGTAACTTCACTGCTGGTACCATACATATTCCAATCATGGCACCAAAAAGAGAAGTGAGACCTAGCTCTGTACAAATATTCTTTTGAGGCAAGAGCTACAAACAACTTCCGTCCAGTCAGTGGAAAACAGCCAAACAGATCATGTTATGTTCATGGAAGGGAATGTCATGGGGCCATCATCATCATCATAGCTGGCACTTCTATAGAGCCTACTGTGCGTCAGGTACCATGCTTTACAAATGGTATCTCATTTGATTCTCACAACAACAAACAGGAAGGATTCAAACAGATGCAGAAAGACTTGTATAAAGTGAGACATCGTGAAGAAAGGACCAAAAAGGAGGAAAGAAACAAGCATTTATTAAGCACCTACTAGATGCCAAGTATTATGCTGAGCTCACTTGACAAATGTTATCTCATTTGAGACTCACAACAACCCTAAGAGGGTGGTGCTGCTGTTATTCCCATTTTTATTGTTATTTCCATTTTATAGTTGAGGAAACTGAGGTCAAGTGACTCTCCCAAATGTCTTCTTCCAGATGCCAGGCCTAATGTTCTATCCACTCTGCCATCTAGTGGCCTGGTGAAGGAGAACACTCTTTGTCAATGTACATACTGGAAGATCACCCTAATGCCAACTGGTTCAAGTCACAGCCCAGTAATGGGACACACATGAAAAAAAGAAGATGGAAACAAGGATGATATGGGTACTGCCACATGAAAGTCAATATGCACATCTTTGGGGGTAGGGTCAATCAACTGTAAATAGCAGAAAGCTTGCAGAGGAAACCTGCCATCCTAGATAAAGGGCTGGGTTTGGTTAGAGTCAGGAAGACCTGAATCTCTCTTCTGAGCTGCACTAGCTATGGAAGTGGAGGAAAAAGGTCATCCCCTCTCCTGAGTCATAGACAGTTCCAGGCTCTTTGCAGAAAGGCAATGGGGAAGGGTGGGGGGGGGGGGGAGAAGGCTGATGAAATTACAGTTCCTTGCATAACCATCTCCATCCCCCCCTTCCCCCTACCTCACCAGCCCTCTATACTCTCCTTTTCCCTGTCCACAACCATGTACCATCTTGGTTGGCTTTTTGGTTTCATCTTTCAGGTTATGGCTTTGTTATGTTATGTTATATTATTTATTTATTTTTTTTACAGCTAATGGTCAGGGTTAGGTCATGGGTGGAGCTACCTATGAATTCAACCCAGGAAGGAACTCCTGGTGAGGAAGTTCACCCCAATAAGGCAGCTGGGCAGCTCCTCCGTGGGGTATAGCCCAGGGGGAACTGAGAGCTGAAGGGACTTTGCCAGGGTCACACATCACCAGGTATCACAGACAAAGCTGGTCCTCGAACCATTAAGCTGGGCTATTTTTCTTCATTTCTTATACTATTGTTTCCATATTTGACTATCTACACTTATCAATGGGAATTAAACGGTATTTTTTAAAAGAGAGAGGCCGAGAGAAGGAACCACAAAAGACAGAGAAAGAGAATGGAGATAGAATGATGGAAAGGGAGGGGACAGTGCATGAAGTCATCAGCCAGAGATAGGAGACACTGGAGGGGCAAAGACATGGTGAGACTGACAGGCAGAAATAGAAGCATCTAAGGAAGGAATGAGGGAAGACCAGGAGCTGGGAGGAAACTGAGAGGCAGACACAGGGATGCTGGGGGATCGAGAAGGTGGTAAGGGGAGGGAAGAACACAAAAAAGGGGAGACAGGACCAGAGGATGGAGACGAAGGGTCTAAAATGGAGGAAGACTGAGGGGAAAGGAAGATGAGGGTCAGAGAGATGAGAGACAGAAACAAGGAGGAGATGGAGAAGGAAAGGGGGGACAATGAAGGGCATAGATAGAGACAGAAATGGTAGAGTGAGATAAATGGGAGATTTGGGGCCAGAGATGGGGAAGCTGAAGGGACAGAGAGGAGAAACTGAGGGGCAAAGAGAGGAGATTGAAAGGAAAAAGGACAGAGAGGAAAGACTGAACAGAGAGGGGAGAGACAGGGACAGAGCACACGAAAGTGACAAAAGGGGATGCTGAGGGACAGAGAAAGGAGACTAAGGGACATGGTTAGAAGGGGATTGAAAAACAGAAAAGGAGAGTGAGAGACATAATTGAGGGAGAGAGAAAAGGGAAAACAGTGACAAAGGCAGGGGGGAGACTAAAGAAAGGGAGAGGTTACCGAGGGGCAGGGGGGGAAAACTTACTTGGCTCCATCTCGGTCCAGGAACAGTGGCTCTGTGCTCAGCTCTTCCGTTTTTACATCCTGAGCTCTGTTGTTCTGGTTTATAAGTGAGGGAGGGTAGAAAGGGGGGAGAAGAGGAAACACTGGCCTAGCTCCTCCCAGGGGCTCCTGTCCTGACCTCAGATGTCCAGTACCCAAAGGCGCCTAGGAGCTCCCTCTCTGGCTAGTGTGGTGGTAGGGGAGCCGGGCTTTGCCCTGAGGCTATGAGGCAATGACCCAAACTGGGGCCAAACCACTGAGCACACCTCCTTCCTCATGGAATAGGGGTAGTGGCAACTAAAGAGTCAATCTAGGAAGACTTCCCGAAGAGGAGAATCTGCGAACCAGATTTAAGGAGCAGGGGGAAGACCAGGCTAAGCCGGAGAAGGGAAAAGAGATGGAGAGGAGGAGATGCTCTGGGTGGGAGAAGGGGCATCTGAACACCAGTGTCCTTTTCACAACTGTGCATGTAGGGGATGGAGGCAGTTTTATCTCAGCTATGTCCAGCCATCCCTTAATATCTTTTCCTAAAATAAGCAATATTTTTAAAGTATGTATTTTAAGTAGAGTTTAGTTACTTTTTTAAAAAATTCAGTTGCTTTTCTTTGGTTTGATGAATAAAAATAACCTTCTGTACGATTCAACATTCAATAAATGTTCACCTTAAAAAAATAGAAAATACAATTCCTTTGGTGCCCCGCGTGTAATCAATGGCAGGTACTACTGCTTACACCTGTGTTCGGAATGGGTGCTTGGGGCTGGGAGGGACCCTCCAGAGACTGCACACCCGCATAGTGTGGGGGTGCCAGAGGTGAGGGTGCGGTTGGCGAGCAACCCAGGGGCCCAGAGAGGTTTAGCGATTTTCCCCAAGCCAAAATCGCCGCACATCACTTGGGTGACTTTTCTCATCGGATGAGGGGGACGGGTAGACAGTCCTTGTGCCACAGGGCCACCCCCTAGTCCCCTCCCCTACCACTTAAAACAACCGCAGTGCCCTTCCCTCTGGTATCCTTTAACTGCTTTAACTGGCAGCAGAAGCCTGCGGCAGCGCAGCACTAGATGAGGGGTGGGGTGGGGGAGGGGGGAGGGGGGAGGGGCAGGCATCCCAACGTGCTTCCAGCCTCCTCATCCTCCAAAAAGCTGGAGGCCATCCCGGCCTTCCACCTTCATAGGCGGCGGACGAGCCCGTTTCTCGTCTCACTTGTTGAACAGCAAACCTTCCTAGCTTATTCGAGCTGTGTTTTATCTGTAAAAGGTGAGAGGGGGCCGGGCCTGATGATCTCAGTCATACCCTACAAGTTATTGTCCGGCAAGGTTTCCTGTCTACTTGCAGATCTCTAAGCACGTATTCTGCTCAAGACTGCCGGGGTGGTGAAGGTGAGAAGGCAGCATCAGGTAGCTGGGAGGCCTTGGAAGGATGGCGCTCTCCAGTGCCCATCTCCCACCCAGGCCGAACACGGAAGTCCTTCCTCGTTGTCCGACCCCCATCAGGCCTGGCCTAGTCGTCAGCAATCTCCCCCAACGTGGGCATTGCGTTGCAATCCCGCCTGCTTTCCCGGATCTAACTCGGCCTCCCGCACCCCCTGCTTTCACTCTGGACGCTTTCACCTGCTCTCCTACCCAGCCCCCCTCTCCAAGGGAAAGGAGGTGCTGAACCCCCAGATCTCAGGCTAAGGACCCCACTGGCCGCTCAAATCCCATCCAGGCTAGAGACCAGGGGATGCCCAACGTAGCATGAAGGCCAGTGATTAGCAAATGGCATCTTTTCCCCTGAAAGGAGGTCGGCCTGCTACGAAGTGGCAGCAAACGGCGGAAAGCCCCCTCCCAGACCCCGGTGGCGCAGACATCGAACTAGCTCACACGCAGGAAGGCCAGGGAATGAATGAGTTTATTTCCAAATAGGAAACACGTACACACAAATATACACACACGAACACACACATACACACACACACCCCCAGACGGGATGGCTAGACGAGGCAGGGGAGTCGCCACCGGGAGGTGCTGCTCCGAGAGGCTCTGGTGGCCTCCCTTTCAGGGAGGTCGAGGCCGGTCAGCTGCTGGGCTCCGGGGGCTTCCGCTGTGTTGGCGAGAAGGGTCCTCAGGAGCGGGAGGCGCTGAATCTCAGAAGGCTCGGGGGGCGGCTTGGTGGAGGCCGCCCCCCCCTCCTTCCCTATCCCCCATTGCGCGGGGCCTGAACATCTGGGGTGGGGTGGGGGAGGAAAGGGCACATCTGGAAGGGAGAGCTTCCATCTGGGAGGGGGGCGAAGGGAGGGAGGCGCACATCTGGAAGCGAGAGCCTCCATCCGGGAGGGGGGGTGTCGGGGTGGGGGAGGGAGGGAGGCGAACATCTGGGAGGGGGTGTCCAGGGGTGGGAGGTGCACATCTGGGAGGGGGTGTCCGGGGGTGTCCGGTGGTGTGATGGAGGGAGGCGCCCCACCGGCCTCGCGACGAGCCTTGGTCAGGGGCCCGGGGGGGGGGCGGCGGGAGCGGCGGGGGGGGCGGGGGGGGGGGAGCGGGGCCCGGACGCCTGGCCCGCGGCTGCGGGGGCGGCGAGTGCGGCGGGCGCCGCGGGGCTGCAGGAGGGCCCGGGGGCCGCGGGGCGGACACAGGCGCCCGGGGGCGCAGGGCTGGCGGCGAGGCGGGTGGGCGCCGCGGGGGCCCACACGAGCCCATAGTAGGCGGCCAGCAGCGCGGCGGCCAGGGAAACGCACACGCAATAGGCGCACACCGGCGCCAGGCGCAGCCAGCGGCCCGCGGGGGCCTCGCTCCCCACCGCCTCGAACCCAGGCTCGGGTTCCGAGGCCCCGCCGCCGCAGCCGCCGCCGCCGCCGCCGCCGCTCGAGCCGCCGCCGCCGCGCATCCCTGCGGGGAGCCCGGACCGCTGCTCCGCACGCGCCCGCGCCCGCTCCCGAGCCGATCCCGAGCCGGATGCCGAGCGATCCCGAGCCCCCGGACCCGCAGCCTCCGGAGCCCGCCCCCGAGCCCCGCCCCCAGCCTGAGCCCCGCGTTCTAAGCCCGCCCCTCCGCCGCCGCTCCGGCTCCAGCCCCAGCCCCAGCCCCACCCACGTGGGGGGGGGGTGTCTAGTCCCGCCCCGCCCCCGCCCTATCGCTTTTCAAAACCGGTCTACAACCGGGCCTTCACCCGGGGGCCCCGGTGTCCCAGCCCCGCCCCCTGCCGAAACCGACAACCTAACCCCGCCCCCTCCCTCTAGCTCCTAATCGGGCCCCCCTCCCACTCGGGCTCTCAGGCCCTTCACCTGCCTTACTTCACCCTGCACTGGCCCCCGAAACCAAGCACCCCAAACCTTTTCCCCATCTCCATCCTTCCGGCTGACAAGGAGAGGAACTGGGGCCACAGCAAATGAATGAATGGTTGAATGAGAAGACAGAACTACCATCGCCCAAGCCTCCCACCATTTGTACCTAGACTGGGCCCACAAAGCCCCCCAAAAAAGGCAGGAGGAAGCATCCACGTTTATTTACAATCGGCTCCTTTATTAAGGTTTGAGGGGGAGGGACACAGGAAGAAGGAAAGGGATGAGGCCCTTCCCTTCCATACCACGGGGGCAGGGGATCCAAGCATTAGGGAAAGTGACCCGCACCAGGAAGGGATGAATCCACCACCCCCCCCTCCCTAAGGACACCAGCCCCCTTCCCCTCCCCCCTCCCCCAGTCACTGGGCTGAGCGACCCAGAACTTGACCATGGGGGCTGTGGGGAGGGCACAGGACAGAATGCTCTGGAGAAGCAGTCCCTCCCACCCACTGCCATCCTGCAGGAGGGCCTCATCAGCCTTCCGAGCAACCTTCTAGCCTCCAGCTCTGCAGGGGGGATGGGTCAGTGTGAACTGGAGGGGGCTCTCCTGGTCAAGGTCATGCATCCCGCGGGCCAGTCACTTCCCCTCCTTTGGCGGGGTGGAACCAGGGCTGGAGCCGGGATCAGGGAGGGCGGCTCGGGGGGAGTTCTGCTCCATCTCCTCTCCCCAGTCAGACACTGGCTGGTGGCCTCCAGAGGGTGAGAAGGGGCTGGCCGGGGCGGAGACCTCTGGGGCTCGGACCTCCGGGGCAGGACTGGCCTGCTTAGGCCCTGGGGCCTGCCCTGAGCCCCCAGCACCTGCCTGCTGCTGAACCTCTTTCTCCTCCTCCTCCTCCTCCTCCTCGTCATCCTCCGCCTCATCTTCACCACTCACATCTTCCCACTGGTCCTCATCCTCGTCAGCAGTAGTTGGGGTTTCGTCTGGAGCTGGGGGCTCTGGGGCTGCACTGGGGGTCTGAGGCTGTGAGGTAAGAAAAGCAGAGCAGGCCTACATCTCCTTCCCCAGCCCTGCTCCCCAAAGACTGGCAACACCCAGAAGCCTGGGGCGTTCCCTCCTCCTCCTCACCTGCGGCTCTGAGACCGGGGGTTTCTCTGGGGGGGCAGCAGGCAATTCCTCTTCCTTGGGCTCCCACCGGTCATCATGGTGGCTGGAGGAATCAGGCATGAGTCAGGGAGAGAGAAGAGGGCGATAGAAATACACTCAGCCCTGGGGTCTGGCTGCTTATTACTAAAACCCAACTTCTTCAACGAATCAGCCAGAAGATTCCCACCTGTAGCCCCGAGGTGGTCCCTTGACCCGAGGACGGCTTGTCTTTCTTCTCCTACGGCTGCCAGACACTGTCTTGTGTTGGGACAAGAAGTCCCCAAAGGTTGGGGGTTTCGGGGGTCGGCTACTGCCCTCATCTGTGGGAAGAAGGCGCTGGGTCGAGACAAGACCCTCAACCTTGCCTTCTCCCCGACCTGGAACAAACTCCTCCCTCCCTTCCTCTCTCCCATCCATCCCTCTGGGGCCCAGGGCTTCCAAGGCCACCCCAGGTCTCACCATGATGCGTGGGTGTCTCTGAGGCAGAGCTAGGGCCATCCTTGAACCTGGGGGGAAGAGGGTCCAATTCAGCAAGAAAAGATTGGTGGAGGAAAGCTGGACAGAGCAAGAGAACATGGGAGGCAAGGGTGTGGACATGGGAGAGAGCAGCCTGGGAATAAGAAATTGAAGACAGAGCAGGGAAGCAAGAAGAGAAAGGGAAGAGAAAGACATGAAGGTGAGCAGAAAAGGCATAGAGAGGTGAAAAGAGAAGAGAAAGGGAGCCCCACCAAGATGGCGGAGCAGCAGGAAGGACAGTCCTCCTCTCCCCAGGACTACTCCAGAAAGATCTAGATAAAAAACACCAGACCAAGACCAGACTGGGAACGTCAAGTCGTTTTTCCAGCCCAAGTCGGCTTAGGGCGGCAGACCAAGAAGTCTGCAGACGATGGGGCCCAGGTGTGGCCAGAAGTCCAGCCCATGGAGCCATGGTTGTGCGTGAGGATAAGAGGACCAAAGCTCACACAGAAGGGCCAGTCTAGCTGTGTGGCTCTGAAGCCAGAGGAGGAGTGGGGTCTCAGACCCAGTCCTCAGCCCAGTCTGAAACCTGCAGCAAAATAACAGAAGAATAACAGAGGGAGGACGCCCACAGCAGAGGGCTGATTACGACTGAGTCAGGAAGTAGCCAGTCTACTGGAGCTCCAACCAGGGGCAAGGCAAGCTCACAGGCCTGTTGCTCAGAACCAAATTCAAATAAGGACCCTGCAGAGCTGAGAACAGGAGTAGAGCTCAAACTCTGCCCTAGAATAGATCACTGTGAGCCTACTGACAGCTTGCAGGTCCCCAGGCTGAGCTGTCCCTCCTAGAATAACACAGCACTCAATACCCTGAGACAAAACCCTGAAGAATACAAAATCACCACAGCCAAGACATTCTCTTCAGAAATGCACAGCGTCTATCCCTAACAGAAAGTCCAAGTCAGAAAGACTGGAAGAAAGAGCAAACAAAAAAGAAATACCACCATAAAGAGCTATTACGGTTATAGGGACGCTAAAGACACAAACCCAGAAGAAAATGACGAAAACATCTACAGGTAAGTCTGCAAGGAAAACACAGGTTGAGCACGAGTTCAACCAGCATTTCTGGAATAGATGACTCGAGTTTAGAAAGGGCTAGAAATTAATTTATAAATGAAATGAGAACACTAAAGGAAAGAATTGGAAAAGATATGAGAACAGAAGGGGGAAACTGGAAAAGAAATGAGAATTACGGAAGAAAAAATTGGAAAGAAAACAGTTGGGCACAAGAGGTACAAAGCCTTACCAAGCAACAGATTCCTTGAAAATTAAGACCACATAGAAATTAATGACCACATGAGATAAAAACACATATTAAAAACAAAGTCAGGGGCAGCTAGGTGGTGCAGTGGATGAAGCACTGACCCCGGAGTCAGGAGGACCCGAGTTCAAATCTGACCTCAGACCAAACACTTGACACTTTACTAGCTGTGTGACCCTGGGCAAGTCACTTAACCCCAATTGCCTAAAAACAAACAAAACAAAAAACAGAGTCAAAAGACTAAAAAAAAAAAATTTAAGGTATTTCATATCAAAAATAACTAAAAGACAGATCAAGAAGAGGTAATTATAAAAGTCAACGGACTTGAAAGAGAAAAGATCAATAAAACTTATTTTTTAAAAGATCAATGGATTATGATAAACAAGAAAACATAAATTACTTAGAAAAGAACTCTGTATTTGATAAAAACTGATGCTGGGAAAGTTAGAAAGCAGTCTGGTAGAAGTTAGGCTTAGACTAACATCTTATACCATTTTCCACAATACATTCTAAATGGATACATGACCTTAATATTAAAGGTCATACTATAAAAATAGAAGAGAAATAGATAATATACCTCTCCCAGGTATGTGTAGATGTATTCAAAACCAAACAAAAGACAGAGGCAATTACAAAAGAAAAGATACTTTGAATTATATGAAACTGAAAAGCACTGATAAACTAATATACCTAGGACAAAAAAGAAAAGTAGCAGAATGGAAAAAAACAAAAGCTTTGTATTAAATTTCTCTGATATGGGTTTGGTATCCAATATATATAAACAAACAACAGGTGTGTGTGTATCTATATATAATATATATATATATGTATATATATATTATATTATATATATAATATATATATATATACATAAACACACGTATACACACGTTATATACGTGTACGTGCGCAAGCACATGTATACACACACAACAGCCATTTCCCAACAGGTAAGTGGTCAAAGGATAAGAAGAAATAATTCTCAGAAAAATTGCAAACTATTAACAATTACATGAAAGAATGTTCCAAATCATTAATAATAAGAAAAATACAAATGAAAACAACCTTGATGTTTCACCTCATACCCTGCAAATTGGCGAAGATGACAAATGACGAAAACAGTCAATGTCAGGGAGGTTGTGGAAAAATAGGAACACCAGTACATTGCTGGTGAAGCTGTGAATTGGCACACCCATTTTGGAAAGAAGTCTGGCAGACTAAAAGTGTCCATACCCTTTGACCTAGAGGTTTCACTACAAGGTGTATACCCCCAAAGTGGCCATTGATAAAAATAAAGTTCCCATTCGTACCAAAATATTTACAGCAGCACTTTTTGGAACAGCAAAGAATCGGATAAACAAAGTCGATGGAAATGGCTAAAAAAAATGCTACTTGAATGTAATGGAATATGACCATGCTGGCAGAAATGATAAACGGCAGGAGTGCGGAGAAGTGTGGAAAGGTCTCCATGAACTGATGCAGAGAGAAGAACTAAGCACAACACACACACTGATTACACAACTGCCCATGGAAAGAACCCCTTGCCAAAAAGCCTAAAGCACAAGCCTGGGCCCAGAGAAGAGAACCGACAAGACTCCCCCTCCCTTTCAGGGGTAAGGAATCCACAAGGGCGGTATGAACGCCGCTCCTGCCTTCAGACTTTCTGGCCCATCAGTCAGCTGTGCTGATGTTTGTTCCTCTTCTTCATCTTTTTTGTCTTAAAAAACAGTATTTGTTACGTGTGATGGCTCTCTGGGAGGGGAGGAAGGACATGAGGGAAAGCTACAGTGCTGTAAAAAACAAAATGCATCAATAAAAACTTACTTTAAAAAAATCAACGGGGGCAGCTAGGTGGCACAGTGGATAGAGCGTCGGCCCTGAAGTCAGGAGGACCTGAGTTCAAATCCGGCCTCAGACCAAACGGACTTGACACTTACTAGCTGTGTGACCCTGGGCAAGTCACTTAACCCCAACTGCCTTCAAAAAAAAAAAAATCAATGGACTACTGGAAAAGGACGGGGTGAAGCCAAGATGGCAAAGTGGCAGGAAGGAGAACAGTGAACTCCTCCCAAACAGATCTAGAAGATGTATCAGGCCAAATCCTGATCAAGGACTCCAAGGAAAAAGTCACAGGGAATCATTTTTCCAGTGTCTGCAGGCATAGGAGGGCAGACAGCAGACACCAGGCATGAGGCCTGGCCAGGGACACGCTAAGGGTGCTCCCATACAGGGAGAAGGTATGTGCCAGGGCAGGAAGAGCTCCCAGATCTGGCTCGTGGGTCCAATCTTGTAAAGGATGCAACAGCAGGTGCCACCTGTGGAACCTCTGTCTCTCACTCCACTCGGTTCAAGGTCACAGATTCCGGGCAGACCGAGGAAAGGAACTGTGCCCACGGCACAAGGTGAGGAGCAGCCGCAGGACGAGGGGCAAGCCCTGGACGAAGCAGCAGCTGCGTGGGATCCTGGGAGCAGAGCAGGGTCTCGGCTCCAGCCGCCAGCCCGCTCAGAAGCCTGCTAAGGAATCCCCGATCAGAGGGAAGCCCTGATCCAGCGGGGCTTTCCTGACGAGTACAGCAAACCCACCGAGCTGTAAGTCAGACCCAGCGCCAGGGCCGAGGGGCTGGTCAGCGCACTGTGGGGGCGCCGGCAGCTTGCAGATCCTGGGATAACACAACACTGTAACACAGTACCCCCAAGAAAGCAACAGCAGGGCCAGCTCTAGATACGCCCGCCAGAAGGACACAGAGCCCGGCCCTGACATAAAGTCCGAGATTAAGGAAGCGGGCTGGAAGAATGGGAAAACAAAAAAGAATCTCATCACAGAGAACTACTATGGTGACTGGGAGGCTCAAGACACAGACCCAGAAGAGAATGATTCCAAAAGGTCTACAAGCAAAGCTGCAAATAAAAACATGGCTTGGGCACAGATTCAACTAGAATGCCTTGAAGATATCAAGCAAGAGTTTAGAAAAAGATTTTTTTGTTTTTGTTTTGTTTTTTGCTAGGCAATAGGGTTAAGTGACTTGCCTAGGTTCACGCAACTAGTAAGTGTCAAGTGTCTGAGGCTGGATTTGAACTCAGGTCCTCCTGACTCCAGGGTCAGTGCTCTATCCACTGTGCCACCTAGCTGCCCCTTAGAAAAAGATTTTAAAATGTTTTTGTCAATGAAAAGGACTAGAGGGAAAAGAAATGAAAGTTTGGAAGAATGCACTGGAAAGGGAAAACCTTGCCCAGAAAGCAAATCCCCTGAAAACAAGAATGGACCAAATAGAAGCCAACGACTCCATGAGGACACAAGCAATATTAAAGTCAAAAGGCTGAAAAAAGAGAAGATCCAACATTTCATAGCAAAAATAACTGATGTGGAAAACAGACAAGGAGAAATAATTCAAGAATCAATGAACTACCTGAAAGCCATGACAAAAATTATTCTAGACTCCGTATTTCAAGAAATCATAAAAGAAAACTGCTAAGATCTCCTAGGATGAGAAGAAAGTAAAGGGAAAATAGAATCTACCTGTCACCTCCTAAAGGAAATCACAAAATGAAACCTCTCAGGAACCTCAGAGCCAAAATCCAAGGGCTTCTAGATTAAAAAAAAAAAGAAAGGAAAGGAAAGGGGGCAGAAAGGAATTACGCTGGGGGGCGGTGAGGGAGAAATCGGATTATCTTACAAGCAACACTTGAATTTCATTCTCATTTGAAATGGTCAAAGGAGGGAAACACACAAATATACACACAAGTCAGTGCAGAAATACATTTCACTCAACAAGGAAACAGGAAGGAAAGAGGATAAGGTGGAGGGGAGAGTAAGAGGGGTTATTCCTAAGCAAACCAAACTCTAACTATAGAGAATGGATCACAAAGAGGGGTTTTAAAAGAAAAGAAAGGATAAGAACCTGTGACTGGGCTGTGGAGCAGAGAGAGAGCGGACAGAAGGGTAGATTTCATTCAGCCTAGAGCACGGGGGCTGGGCACATCTCCCTCTCTCACTGCCCTCTTCTTCAGTGGGAAAGGAAGGAGGGAGGGCAAAAGAAGGAAAAGTATAAGAGAACAGGATAGAGGGAAATAAACAATTAATGATCACAATTGTGAAGAGAAATGGAAGACTGCTCTCATAAAATGGAAAAGGATAAAAGAATGGATTACAAAGCAGAATCTACCAACATGTTGTTTACAAGAAACACACTTGAAACATCAAGGTTCTCACAAACTTAAAATAATGGCCTGGAGCAAAATCCACCATGTTTCAGCTGAAGTAAAAAAAATGCAGGGGAAGCAATTAGGATCTCACACAAGGCAGTATCAAAAATAGCATTATATGTAATTTATCTTATAAAAAAGAAAAACAGGAAAATTACATTTTGCTGAAACTACGTTTCATAGACAATGAATTAATACCAATACTAAAGATATATAAACCAAATGGCATAGCATATAAATGCTTAAAGAAAAAAAGAAAAATTGAGTAAAACTATAATACTAAAGAACCTCAATGTACCCCTTTCAGACCTACTTAAATCTAGTCAGAAAATAAAAAAGTTAAGGACCTAAATAGAATTTTAGAAAAGTCAGACACAATAGACATGTGGAGATTATTAAACGGGTGCACATATTTCCCAGCTGTGCAGGGAATCTTTATAAAATTGACTATTTAGGGCATTAAAAACCTCACAAACAAATGGAAAGAACCTGAAATATTAAAAGCTTCTTTTACAAGCCACAATGCAATAAAATTATACTCAATAAAGGGCCACTGAAGAAACTATTAAAAATTAATTGGAGACTAAATAACTATCCTAACGAACCACAGGGACAATCAATAATTTCATTAAAGTTAAGGACAATAATGAAACACACAAAAATTTTTGGGATGCAGCCAAAGCAGTCCTTAAGGGAAGATTTATATCTCTCTCTAAATACTTTTATCAATAAAAGAAAGAACATAACAAACTAGGCATACAACTAAAAAAAATTTTTTAAACTGACAAACTAAAAACCACAATTAAGTACCAGAACAGAAATCCTGAAAGTAAAAGAGATGAACAAAACTGAAAGCAAAAACCCCAGTGAATTACTAAATAAAACCAGGAGTTGTTTAAAAAAAAAAATTTAACAAAATAAATAAACCATTAAGCAATCTGATTTTTAAAAATAAAGAAAAACAAATTGCCAGCATCAAAAATGAAAATGGTGAATTCGTAACAAATTAAGGAAGGGAATTATTAGAAACTATTTTGCCCAATTATGAACCCAAAAAACCTTCACAATCTAAAGGAAATAGGTGAATTTTTACAAAAATATAAAACGTTCAGCTTACCAAAACACGATTTCAGAAAAAGAAATCAAACAACTCAAAATGAGCTCCCAAAGAAAAAACTCTGGAGAACAGATGGATTCACAAATTAATTCTGTCAAACCTTTATACAACAATTAATTCCAGTATTACTAAAGCTCAGCAACATATCACAAAGATTATACACTATGACCAGTTTGGATTTATACCAGGAAGGCAGAGCTGATTCAATATTAGGAAAACTATGAACGTAAACTACCATATTAATAACAAGCACAATAAAAAACATGTTTGTGTCAACAGTCTCAGCAAAAGCTTTCGACAAGATACAACTCTTGTTAAAAACACAAGGCAACAAAATAAAAAAGGAACTCTTTCCTTAACAGAAGTAATGTCTACCTAAAACCGAGAGTCACTATATGTAATGGAGATAACAACCTAGAGCCCCTTCCAACAAGATCAGCGGTAAATTAAAAGTGTCCATTATCACCATTACTACTTGTTATAATGCAAAAAATGGTAGCTATGGCAGTAAGACGACAAAAGAAAAAGTGAAGGACTAAGAACAGACAAAGGAAATAATTAGCCCTTTTCATAGATGACATGGTGCTTTACTTAGATGACCTAAGAGACAACTACAAAATTAACTGAAAAAAATTAACTGCAAAGTTGCAGAATGATCAAATAAACCCACATCAATCATCTGCATTTCTGTAAATTACCTACAAAATACAGTAGTAAAAGACAGAAACAAAGAGAAATTCCATTTACAGTAACTACAGACGGTCAAAATACTCGGGAGTCTACCTGTGCCAAGACATACCCAGGAACCAGAAAATTATAAAACACTCTTTACGTGAATGATTGGAAATAATTGGAAAAACATTAATTGCTCATGACCAAGCCAACATAATAAAAATGACAATACTACTTAAATTGATTTACTTGTTCAGTGCTAAGTTAATCAAACTACCAAAGGAGTCCTTTATAGAGAAAGGAAAAAAATAACAACAAAGTACATCTGGAAGAACAAAAAGTCAAGAGTTTCAAGAAAAATAGTGGGGGGAAAAAAAAAAGGACGGTGACCTAGCCATACCAGCTCTCAAAGTATAGCACAACACAATAGTCATCAAAAACAATTTGGTCCTGGGGTAAGACACAGAAAGCTCAATTAGTGGAACAAATGAGGTACAACAATTTACAGAAGGAAACACAGGAGCCTGGTGTGTGACAGATCCTAAGTGCTGGGATAAGAACTCACGATCTGCCAAAAACTGCTGGGAAAACTGGGAAGCCTCCTCACAGAAATGGAGCTGAGACCAGCAGCTCACAGCACACACCGAGTTCCAAATGGGTATGTAATTTAGACATAAAGGGTGACATCACAAACAAATTAGAAGAGCAAGGAAGAAATTACCAGTTAGATATATGGTTAGAGGAAAAATTCATGATAAAATAAGGGACAGAGAGAATCACAGAAGGTAAGATGAACTATTTTGATTAAATAAAATTTTAACGGTTTTTAACAATAACCAAAATGGCTAAAATTAAAAGGGAAGCAGTTAAGTGGGGAAAAAAATCTTTGTAGCAAGTTTATCTGATAAAGGTCATACTTCTAAGATATACAGGAAACTGATCCACATTTATAAGAATAATTCATTCCCCAAATTGACAAATGGTCAAAGAACACGAACAGTTTTCCAAAGAAGAAATCCAAGCTATCAATAGCCATATGGAAAAATGCTCCAGATCACTAACAATTAGAGAAACTGAGATTAAAACAACTCTGAGGTTCTACCTTACACCAATCAAAATTGATAAAAAAAAAGTGCCAGACGCAAGAGAGGCTGTGGGAAAACAGGTAGATGACGCCATTGTTGGTGGAGCTGTGCACTGGTTCAGCCACACTGGAAAGCAATTTGGAACGATGCCTCCAATTCTGAGTATGCCCTCTGTCCCACTAATCCATTCCAATCCTAGGTCTGTACCCCAGAATGATCAAAGAAAGACAAAAGGGCCCTACATGTACAACAATATTCAGAGCTGCTCTTTTCATACTGTCAGAGAACTAAAAACTGAGGGGGTGACCATCACCTGGCTGAACAAGCTGTGGAATGCTACTGTGCCATAAGAAATGATGAAGGGAATGGTTTCAGAAAAACCTGGGAAGACTTCTATGAACTGATGCAGAGCAAAGGACAATTTCTACAAGAAGAAGATTGTAAAGACCAACAGCTTAGAAAGGCTTAGGAACCACGGTCAGTGCAACAACCGACCAGGACGCCCCAGGATTCATGATGAAACACACTCCCCACCTCCTGACAGAGCAGTCTCAAAGCACAGACTGACACGGGTGTTTCGGAGGTGCCCATCCCAGGAATCTGTATTGCTTGACAATCTATGTTTGTAACAAGGGTTTTACTTTTTTCTTACTTTCTGTATGGGGGAGTTGAGGGGAAGGGGGAGAGAGAAGGTGGATTTTCAGGGACTGAAAAGAGTGTTAACTAAAAAAAAGTGACCAGGAAATAAAAGAGTGACCGGGAGATGAGAAAGGAAGAGAAGGCTGGGCGGCAGGAGAGGCAATGGAAGCCCACAAGGAGGGGGCAGAGGCGGCTCAGGACAGGGACAAGCACCCACATGCCCTCTGTCTTCTCAGCATCCCACTCCCTGCGCCACTGGCCCGTGGGTTTCCGATGCCGCTGTAGCCTCTCTTGGTCAATGCGCTCACGCTCCTGCTTCCATCGCAGGTATTCAGCCCGCTCCCGGCCCGTCATGGACAGTGTCATGTCCCCACCAGGTCCTGCCCGACGGCCCTGCTCTCTCCAATAAAGAGCAACATTGGAGCCATGTTCCCAGGGAGCCGGGCATCCCTCTGTCCCAGTGCCACGCTCCTTCTCCTATCCCCTGGTTCAACATCCTCCCAGGCCAGGACCCAGACCCAGTTCTTTGCCAGCCTCCCCCAAACCCAGGGAGTCAGCCTGGCAGTACATTTTCAGCCTGAGCTCTCCCCCACGCTCCAGCCCTCCTCAGCCCAGCACTTATCCCGTCCCCAGGCTCCCTCACTCCTGGCACTCATAGGGCAGGGCCGAGCTCTTCCCTGAGCACCCTCCCAGGTCCCCATGCCCACTCAGGTTCTAGAACCCACAGAACGCTCCTGCTCCAGGCCACTGCGAACACGCTCAAAGTCAGCACCACCCCAGTTCCGCCCATGGCGCCTGCTTCCCTCCCGACGGTCCCGCTCTGATTCCTGCAGAGGTCCACTGCGACGAGGATCGTCCAGGAAATTCCGGACAGGGTTCTTCTCAGGCAGCCCATCCTGAATTCAGGGTAAGCAAGGCTCAGTGCCCAGGGGAACAAGCAAAGCTCCTCACCAGCTCCAGCCCTCCCAGGCCCCGCTCACCCGCTGATTTCTCTCATACTCGGCTATCTTTTCCATCTCTTCATTCATCTTCTCAATATTCTGGCGACGTCGCTCCTCCCACTCCTGCAAGGTCCAGAGACAGAGATAAGAAAAGAAACACAGAGGAAGGGGCAGGAGATCCAAGACAAAGAGAAGATAACAGGGAAAGAAAGAAGACAGACAAGGAACAAGGTCAAGTTAACAGATCAATAAGTATTTATCAAGTGCCCACTATGTGCTGAGCCCTGGGCTAAGCACTCAGAAAAAAAAAAAGTAAAAACTCAGTCCCTGTCCTCAAGAAGCTCACAATCCAATGGGGGGAGGGGATGACAACATGCAAACAACCAGCAACACACGAGTATAGACTGGGGATCTATAACTTGGAGGGTTCTCAGAGGAAAGGCACTAAGATCCAGGGGAACTGGAAAGGCTTCTTTTAGAAGGTGGGACCAGAAGGAAGCCAGGAATGAGGAAAGAGAGCACTGCAGGTATGGGAGAGTCCACTCAGAGAAAAGGCCCAAAGTCGGGAGGTGGAGCATCTCACGCAAGGAGCAGCTGGGAGACCGGTGTCCCTGACTAGAGAGAACACTGGGGGCGAGGGGGTGAGCAAGGTGGAAGAACACTGCAAAGGCAGGAGGGCTTTCAAAGCGAAACAGGCAGGGGCAGCTAGGTGGTGCAGTGGATAGAGCACCGGCCCTGGAGTCAGGAGGGCCTGAGTTCAAATCCAGTCTCAGACCAGACACTTGACCCTTACTAGCTGTGTGACCCTGGGCAAGTCACTCAACCCCAACTGCCTCACCAAAAAGAAAAACAAATAAACAAACAAACAGGATTTTATATTTGATCTGAATGGCAGGAGGAGAATGAGCAGAGTAATGCGGTGAAAACCTCGGGAGAGGACGCGTCTGGAGGAGGAGAGGGTGAGGGACAGAGTCCAGGCTGCAAAGAGGCCAGAATGAGACCTAAGAAAAGGCCCCCAGACTTGGCAGCTAAGACAGAGACCCTGGTCAGACTGGAGAGAGCAGCAGGCTGGGGGCCAGAGAGCGAGGGGCTGAGAAGAGAACGAGAGCAGAGGAAGCAGAGGGCCGACTGCAGGTGCCTCCCGTGGAGTCTGGGCAGGACGACAGGGTGCAGGGAGAGGGAGCAGCAGCAGAGAAGCAGGCAGTGACAGGGAGAGCCTGAAGATTACTGACTGTGGGGATGATGGAGGGGGCAGTGTGCTGCAGATAACATGACGGATTGGGGCCCCTGTAAACACAGAAGGCTTTCTTTGGCCAGGAGAAGGGCCACATCTCCCTGGCAGACAGACAACTGGGAAGCAAAGGCCCCTCCCTGACTCAGGACCTTGGATCTCCTATCAGGGACAGGGGCATCCCCTGCCACCGCACTGCTCCCAGAAGAGTAAGCTGGCCCTCCTCGGCCCCGGCCTCGACGGCCCCGGCCTCCTCCGCTCCGTGCTGGGGGTGGCTCCACGTAGATCACCATTTCTTCTTCCCAGAACCTGGACCCCCGGCCCAGACTAGCCCGGCCTCCTCGCAGTGGGGCACTGCGGCCCCCCTTCCCAGCACTCCCGTGGGCCCGGGCAGGGGCAGGTGGCCGGCGGCCTGAGCCCATGCTCTTCTCCTGCAAGTGACAGATAAGGGAAGCAGGTAAGCCAGCAGGCAGTACGATCCCAGCCCCCAGCCCCCACACCCTGACTGGGGGCCCCGTCACCATATCCACAGCAACATTCTCCTTCTCGGCAGGGCGCCCCTTGCGCGGTCCCGTCACGGCCACCCCCTCCGATTCTGCCTTCTTCCGGTCTTCCTCGATCTCCTGGAGGATGGACAGAGATGCCACAGCTGGGACACACCGACGGGAACCATGGGGCATGGGGGCCGAGGAAGGCCGACTGGCCACTCACTTGGTAACGGCGGATCAGGGCTGCATTCTTCTTCCGAAGGGCCTCGATTCGTTTGTCCAACTCTGCGTCCTTCTCTTCCTTGGACTTCAAGTCCAACGTGGTGGCCTGATGGGCCAGGGGAGGAGGGGAGGCTGGAAAGCTAGACTACCTCTCTCCCCCCTGGAACCTGCACTGCTGGGACCCCTCCCAGGACTGGGGGCCTGATTTCCTAGGTCCCCAGCTCCCTTTCCCCCAAGACTCCCTACCTCCCGACCCAGAGCTGGAAACCTGCACCCCGAGGTCCCCAGCCCCCTCCCGTGTGGCCTCCCCCAGAGCAGCTTGGAGCCTGTACTCCGGGTTCTTCCCTCTTTGCCGAGGGCCCCGATTTCCTAGTACCTCCACACCCCCCCCACCTGGAAGCTCGCACTCAGGGGTCTCCAACTCCCTCCTCTGAGGTGCTCCCCTCAAAGCTAGGCATTCAGGTACCTACATTCCAGGATCCCCAAACCTCTCCTCTATGGCTCCCCCAAATCCTGGCGTGTGCACTCCAGGGTGCCCCCACGGCCGGGCGCCTGTACTCTGGGGTCCCTCCCGTCCCCCTCCTAGGCCCGGTGCCTGCTTCTCGGGGTCTTCCATGGCTCCCCCAGCCTCGGGCGCCTGCACTCGGGGTTCCCCCTCCCCCCCTCCCCCACGCCCTCACATCCGGGCACCTGCAGTCCAGGGTTTACCCCCCCGCTGGGCGCCTGCACTCGGGGTCCCCCTCCCCGGGTGCCCCTCGCCCCCCATGGCCGAGCGCCCGCTTTTGGGGGTCCCCCCAGCGGGGTCCTCACCATGCCTCCGGCCCGGCGGTCCCGGGGTCCCGGCCGCCCGCGTCGGGTCGAGGGTCTATGCAGGAAAAGGCAGGCCAGGGTCGGCGGTGACTCAGCCCAGCAAGCCCCGGCCTCGGAGGAGCCGCAGCAGCAGCAGCGTCCCCCACGGCCCGCGTCCACGCCCCCCGCTAAGGCCACGCCCTCCCAGAGACCACGCCCCGCACTAGACCACGCCCCACGCGGTGCCCGCTCCGGCGCAGGCCACGCCCCCTGTGGTCACGCCCCCTGAGGGCCGTACCCCGCACCCCCAGACTTGGGGCCATTCCCTCGGGCCCCCGCCACGCGAGTCTCCGTGCAGCCCCGGGAGCCCCGCCGTTCCCCACTCACCGGCTGGGAGACCCCACGGCTCCTCCGGCGGCCCCGCTGTCGCTCTCTCGCCCCTGCTCCCGGGCTCCCCTCGCGTCACTTCCTCTACGGATCACGTGGACACGGAGAGGGGAGGGGGGGAAAGAGCCACTTCCGGTCTCGCCTCCTGATGGAGGGAAGGAATCTTAAAGGGACCGCTCCCTGTTTGGGTTGCTGCTTCACCCTAGAAAGAGCATTCACCTTTCAAGACCTCATTCTACAAAATAACTCTGTAAAATGAGTTCTATCACGCGGTTACTGAAGACTCTCTCAGTACTCAGTGTTCTAGTTCTCCTCCCAGCTGTGACATCCCCTGTTCTAAGGCTGCCCCCAGCTCTGACATCCCTTGTTCTAAGGGCCCTTCCAGCTCTGACATTCCCTGTTCTAAGTGCCCTCCTAGGTCTGATAATCTCTCTTCTCTATTCTGAGATCCTTTCTAACTTCAATAAACATTTATTAAAAGTTTAACAAAGTTGCAGGCTATAAAATAAATTTGCATAAATCGACATTCCTCTATCTTAGCAACAAAACAGCTGGAAGAAATAGGAGAAATTTCATTCAAATAATAGGATGCATTAAATACTTGCCTGACTGCAACTTCAAAACCTTGTTTATACAAAGATAGATCTAAAGAATGGAGAAATACTAATTGCTCATGGGTAGGCCAAACCAATATGATAAAAAACAATGATACTACATAAATTAATGCAATTATTTAGTCCTATACAAATCAAAGATATTCCAAAAGAATATTTTGTTACTGTTGTTCATACGTTTCTAACTCTTTGTGACCCCATTTGGCATTTGCTTGGCGGAAATATTGGAGTGGTTTGCCATTTCCTTCTCCAGCTCATTTCACAGATGAGGAAACTGAGGCAAACAGGGTTAAGTGACTTGCCCAAGGTCATACAGCATAAGTGTCTGAGACCAGATTTGAATTGAGGAAGATGAGTCTTCCTGACTCAAGGTCCAGCACTCCATCCCCTGCACCACCTAGAAGAATATTTTATAGAGCTAAAAAATAAAATAGAATTCACCTGGACAAACAAGAAGTCAAGAATCTCAAGGAAAATCATTGGGGGGGGGAATAGGAAGGAAGAGGACATTGGCAGGACCAAATCTAAAACCACACTATAAAAGAAATAATCATCAAAAGAATTTAGTGTTATTGAATCATTTAAATCGTGTCCCCATTTGAGGTTTCCTTGGCAAAGACACTGGAGTGGTTTGCTATTTCCTTCTCTAGCTCATTTTATAGATGAGGAAACTGAGGCAAACAGGGTTAAGTGACTTGCCCAGGGTCACACAGCTGGTAAGTGTCTGAGGCTGGATTTGAACCCAGGAAGAAGAGTCTTCCTGATTTACACCCAGCACTTAATGTACTATGGAGCTACTTGGCTGCCCAAGAAATTATGAAATTGATCATTGGAATAGATAAAGGACAAATATACAAAAGCAAAGAAACACAATAGAGGAAGGGAATAAGCATTTATACATCTCAGTCTGTATGTGAAGAGCTTTCCACAAATATTCCACAACCCTCAGAGGATTTATTGTGCTTATTGTGGGAATTTGAGGCCCACAGAGGCTAAATAACTTTTGCCCAAGGTCCTGCAGCTTAGGAAGTGTCTGAAGTCAAATTGGAACTCAGGACTTCTATCTACTGAGCTACCAGCGGCCTATGGAAGCTTTACATCTGATAAATCTAAAGACTTCTGGAATGAGTATTCAGCCCCCTGTCTTCCTGGACACTTTCCCACTGCTTCCCTGAAGCCTTCTCACACTTTGAATGTCTCCATCCCTATGGTTGCCTCTTTTAATTGGTGAGTTTCTTCCCAGAATTTTCATCTGAGGAAGGACCGCCAATAGTCAGGTTCACTTCAAACCTGGCTCAGACTCTTGACTTTCCAGATAACTTTTCTACTAGGCCTCCTCCTGGTGCTTTACCCTACCTCCCCACGGTGTTTCAACTCCCCTCATAAGCTGCCTTCCTCCATTAGAATGGAAACTCCTTGAGACTAGACACTCTTGTTTATTTGCTTGTATTTGCATCTCATAACGCCTAGCACACACTAGGCTCTTAATTGATGCTTTATCTATCTTTAGCTATCATTCTTATGACAAAATCTCCTAGGAAAACTGGGGAGTACTTTGGCAGAAATGAAGGGTAAACTAATACCTCATATTATATACCAAGATAAACTCCAAACTCATAATGACTTTGACATAAAAAGTGGCATTTTCAAAGAGTAAGGAAGAAATTGCCTTTCCAGGTCTATGGATAGGGGAAGAAGTCTTGGATAAGCAAAGGATAGAGGGTTCACAGAAAAGAAAATGGGACAGTTTTGACTATAAAATGTAAACGTGTTCACACAAACAGAAACAATACAATTAAAATTAGAAGGAAAACAGGTAACTGGGACAAAATCTTTACAACAAATTTCTCTGATAGAGGTCTCGTATCCAAGCTATATAGGAATCTGATTCAGAGTTATGTGAATACAAGCCATTCCCAATAGATAAGGGGTCAAAGAATCTGAATAGGTGATTTCCAAAACTATCAACACTCATATGAAAAATATTCCAAATCACTCATGATCGGAGAAATAATACAAATTAAAGCAACTCTGAGGTCCTACCTCACACCCATCAGAAGAGCAAGGTTGACCAAAAAAAGGGAGATTGATGTCGGAGGGGCTTGGAGAAAACAGGCACAATAATGCTCTATTGGTGGAGATGGGAATCAGTCCTGCCATTCTGGAAAGCAATTTCCAAAAAAATACGTCCATAAAGTTAACTAAAATAGTTATAGCGTTAACATGAGCTCTGCAATGACTGTTCTATATGTTAGAACCTCCCTTCTTCCCAGGGAAACAGGACAACAGAGGTACATAACAACCAGCCAATTAGAAGGCTTCTGAAGCCCACAGCTGCTTGATACACCAGTGATCCTTTGCGAGAGAACTCTAGCTGAATTTGGAGATGCCTGTAGCTGTCAGAAACCACAGGACCAGCCTTGACCTGGAGCTGTAGACTTAAGACCCTGCTCTGGACTTTCTGAACATTCCGCTGCCTGGCTCATTGTGTCTACAGATGTCCCCACCCGAAAGCGTCTAGAAATTATAGCACCTCACCCTTCTTCCACTTCCCTTGGAGAGCTGAAAAACTTTCTGCCTCTTTGCTCCATTGTACGATTTTCTCTCCCTTGTTCTCAGACAATAAATGCTTTTAATTGGTCTATCAGATTCTGTTTCATTTTGGGTACCTTTATGGGCCTGGGGGTCATTTGTTAACAGTATGTACTTTCTGACCACTACTATGTATATTCCCTATAAAAAAAAAATTAAAGAAAGAGAAAAAGGACCCAGAAAGACAGAGGTATTTTTATTTATTTATTTTTCCCACAGAGGTATTTTTTAGCAGTTCTTTTCATCATACCAAAAAACTAGAAATTAAAGGAGTGTTCATCTATTGGGGCTTAGCTAAGTGAATTATTTTATAGGAGTGTAATGGAACATGGGAAAGGTAAGTGGTACAGCGGATAGAGCACCGGGCCTGGGGTCAGGAGGATCTCAGTTCAAATCCAGCCTCACACTTCCTAGCTGTGTGACCCTGAGCAAGTCACTCGACCCTGTTTGCCTCGGTTCCCTCATCTGGAAAATGAACTGGAGAGGGAAATGGCAAACTACTCCAGTATCTTTGCCAAGAAATTTCCAAATAGGGTCAGGAGGAGTTGGACAGGACTCATCAACAGTGGAACATTATCATTCCCAGGGCTTAGCGCAGCACCTGGCGCTCCGTAAGTGCTTAACCCTAGAAAGACCAGCTGCATCAATTGCTGCAAAAATTTTATTATAATTTTACTTAACAATGTTCATCCTATTATCTATTTTCTTTGCCTTATGGATAAAAAAATGCTGTGTCAATGGATATTTCCCATAAGAAATAGGAAGTTTCAGAAAAAGACGGGGAAGATGTGTGTAAAGGGCCACCTATCCTAGGCACAGAATGGCCTCTCTCCATGTGGAGAGGCTGGGGACCATGCTTCTGGGGGAGGGAGGCGATGACTTGGAACGGGAAGTTCCTGGGGGTGGTTGCTTTGTTTCTGTTGCTGACTCTGGTCAGTAACCCACACCCTTAAGAGGATGCCTTTTTTTGGGGCAGTGAGGTGGATAGAGCACCAGCTCTGGATTTAGGAGGACCTGAGTTCAAATCCGGCCTCAGACATATAAGACTTACTAACTGTGTGACCCTGGGCGAGTCACTTAACCTCATTGCCTGGCCAAAAAAAAAAAAAAAGAAAAAGAAAAAAGATGCCTTTTTCTATGGGCATCTTCAAAAAACACTGAGCCAAACTCGCTGAATCCTTTTGCTCTCCTCTCCTGAGTGAGTCTTTCTCCTGGTAGACTGAAAGACCCTGTTCTCATGGTGACCAGGAGAGAAAGGTGCCTCAGGCTTTGGCCTTTGCCTTTGATCTTTTCCCTTCAGGGGAAGGTACTTCCCATCTTGTACAAGGGAGAGTGCACCACTAAAGTATTAGGATAAGAATTTGTATGCTTGTCCTTGAGGAGTAAATATCCCTTTCTAAAAATTAATTCATTCGAAGTAGCTAAATGGAGCTAGCACTCACAGTTGAGAGAACATCGCTGGTGTGGGCTCAAGCTGCTAAGAGCCGGTTGTTAAATTTTCAGAAGGAGCATTTATGACTCAGAAATCTCAAATCAAGGTTTGAGTTCTCATTTTGTTGTCTACTAGACCTAAGAAAGTGATGGAGAAAGTGTCACTGCTGATTAAACTTTAAAATGTTTCTTTTTTTTATTCTTCTGAGAGCTGGTTGTTAAACATTTACCAGCCAACCCCTGGCTCAAGTCAATCCTATTAAAGAAGAGACACAAGCCCAACCCCTCAGCTGCTACCCTGACGGAAGAAGTAATCTCCTTGACTATGTCAGTGAAGCCAGAGACTACTAGCTCCAGCTTTATGAACGGATACAGAGTGAAGTGAGCAGAGCCAGATAAACAATGTGTACAGTGACAACGTAAAGAAAAAGA